TCAGATGAAACCAAAATGAATTCTGATGAAATGGTGATCAAAAATGATGTGCAAGGTGTGATACCTTGCTTCCGAATTCGTACTGCTTCAGCGGCATTCAATCGCTTTGCAGTTTCTGCACCAAGACGAATCGCTTTTTCGAGCGTTTCTTTCGTGATCGGCAGTTTGAGACGTGGCTCTTGATCGATCCATTGTGAGTAGTCGACTTGATCAATTATCGTTGAATTACACGGCATCTCGCAGTTACTGAAATACGATAACCCTCAAACCATTACCTTCAATCATTACTCAATACCTTCTCGACAAATACCCAATTGAAGTATCGATTCAAAAACAACGTTTAGAAATTTCTCAGCATCTCAGAAGTATTGTGTTGAGCAATGTCACGACAGCAATTACCCGAATTCATCAGCTAATGCGAACACATTTGGCTGTATTTTTGTGAGTTGATCGGTGTTATCACAAACAATTCTTGCCAGCGAGATTCGTCGAATTTCATTTAGTTGTTCGAGCGTGAACGCTGACGGCACAAAGAAATTCTCATACCAGAATCGATCACCACGACGTGTCTGCAAATAAATCTTATTGATTGCTCCTTGATCACTTGAAACATTGCTGAATTATCAACTGCAACATCTCATTTATCATCCGTTCTTTCGAATACTTAGTTCATCGGCATTTCAGTTCAATCACCAACTCAATCAAATGGAAAAAAGCCATGAACATTATTAACCTTTTGGAACTGTTTCCCAATGATGCAGGCGAATGTTGGTCCAACAAGAGCACCTCTTGGCGGTTTNGGTTTCTCTGCCAGTCCAAGAACGAACAAGTCAACGTCGTCGATGTCACCGTATAATTGCGACAGTGCACTGACGTCGAACGATTGAAGAACCTTAAGTTCATTGTTTTTGCCACATATCATTCAGATGCATTTGCCTATACAGTTCGTTCACCTGTACACACATTATAGCAATACTCTTCTTCATGAACGCACGAAATAAAAGTTGCTAGTGACAATATAACAACCACAACGGCAGTAGGAAGATTTCCACAAGGGAATTAGCGAGGCTGTGCACTTACGATCCAGTTTTCAAATATATTTGGAGTGAGCTTCTACAGTTTCTGATAAAATTTC